TCTCTCTCTCTCTCTCTCTCTCTCTCTCTCTCTCTCTCTCTCTCTCTTTCCCCTTTCTTTCGGTGAGAGCTGATATCTCTGGCGGTTTGCCGCATGGAAGTCGCCCAGGCAAGGCAGAATATCAGCTGTCTGATCCGGACTCCTCTCCAGTTGCCGAGCACTGCACGAGCAGACACAACATCATACTCACATTTACTGGGATTCAACGGGATATAACGGCATTTATCCGCTGACCGACTGACAGGGGAGTCTAAATACCGGCTTCATTCCTGCAGTGGGGGGAATAATTCTTACACAGATGTAACAACAACAACAAAAAAGACACACCGGATCGTCAAGTGCGCAGAAGCCACATCTTGAAACATTACGCACAGCTAATTCTATTCTATTTCTTTATCTTTTTTTCTTCCTATTCCCTCCATCCCCTGCACGGACAAACCAGGGACCGGAGGTCGGGGGGATTTCCACGGTATGGAGTCCTGATTTTACCAATCGACCCACCGGGAGGAATGAAACTGAGAAGATCCGTCGCCGTGGTGGAATATTAATAACCTAATCCTAACAAGAATCCAGGGGATGTTGCCGCAGAGTTTGGGACTCTAGAGAGCATTCCAACTTTTTTTTGGTCTCTGTTTCTAAATCTCTCTCCCTCTTATCTTCCTCGCCAGTGAGACTTCTATTTTCGTGACTGATTCGCAGTGCTACTTCACTTCTCTATCATGGACCGGTCGGCGTCTTTGGATATAGAGGCGCTCAAGGTAAGACGCTCGCAGCCGGGCGGCGCGCACTTGTTTGTTCCACGGGAGAGAGTTGCGATCCTCCGCTGGGCGGGTGGATGGCTGGGTGGCCTGTTGGGTGTCTGGATGTGATGGTTTCGAAGTGCTGGGAGGATGAGTGTTATCACTGGGTGGCGGGCTGGATTGATCCGCAGCAGAGTAGCTGATGGTGACGGGTTGTACTATGCAGGTGGCTGAATGTGGCTTGATGTGTGACCGGGCGGCTGTTTGGGCTATGTGACCCAATGGCTTCAGGATGCTGCGAGGGCGGCTGGATGGTGAACTTCTCGAGGTGCAATAAACGGATGGGGTTTGTCTCAGTCAGAGTATACCCAGATCTGGATTGTTGCAACACGATCCGAGATGCTCTCTCCAGGTCTGTCTCCTCCACCACACACATGCACAAAACCCACACTCTTTCTATGTTGGTTTGGGAATACAGAGAGAGAGAGAGAGAATGTGCATGCAGTCTTCGGAGTGTGGGATGAATTTCAATCCGCTTTTCTTGCACAGAGAGTTGTTGCAGAGAGCTGTTGTGTGAATCGGTGGGACGCTCGATAGACGGGACGGATTTTCCCGACGGGGCGGCATCTTTGTGCAGAGGGTCATGCGTAAAAAAAATTTAGACAAGATCCGAGAGTGAAGGATGACGACATCCCTTCTTAAAAGTCTGTTCCTAACTGACATGAATAATTATTCGACCTGGGTGCGCTTGTGCCCGTCGACGGCTTTGTGTGCGTATTCCTGCAGCATGTGGATATGGGTCGCTGCTTATACTAGTTATTCTCTCTCTATCCAGGATAGAGTTTTGCCCCCGTGCACCTCTCAACCCCCCATCACGTGGATGTCACATCAGTGGGTTGACGAGTAGGTAAATTGAGCACAGGTTTGTGACGCTCAGGTAACTTCAATTCCACCTTAATCTAGGTTTGTCCAAATGATGTTCAGGGAAAGACATGAGGTATAAAGGTGTGTGTGTGTGTGTGTGTGTGTGTGTGTGAATGGCGTGGGTTATCTTGCACAACCATTCTAAAATCCTTGGAAGGTGTACCAGGGGAGCATTCAACACCTGTTCCCCATTAGTTTGGAAATGTATGCGAATCATTAATTCCCTCAACATTCATCCACTAAAATTGTACGTGTAGATTAAATCGGCATATAATTAACCTGAACGTTTATGTGCTGTCGTATTTAAGTGCACATTTATGTTGTCACTTTTGAGTGCAACAATGAAAAGGTTTCCAGTAGCAAAACTATGTATCAAGCTTATTGTTTGTAATAAATAGGTATTTGAGTGAAACCATAATAAAGGTCAGGTCAGTATCACTAGAGACAATACATGCCACATGCATGCTGCAAGAATGTCCCACCTTGATCAGAGAATGTACTGTAGACAGGAAATGTGAGTGGAAATGTCCATTTTCCATACTGCTGTGTTTACTGATAACCAGTGATTGGCTAAATCAGCAAATCAATGACATTCCCCAGAGGTTTGACATTTCAAATAGCATGATCATATTTATGAGAAGGAGACGGGGAAACTGCACTTATGCAGTGCTCCAAATTGACTTCGACTCAGCTGGCTGGTCGCAGTTTCCAAAGATGGAAATTGACATTCTGCTTTTAAAAGGGTCCTAAACTGTTAGCCAATGAGCTTGACCTGCAGAACTGTGGGAGTATCGATGTTTTTGTCCCATGTGTGAGCTGTCTGGTCTTTCCGGATGTCATGCTTCAGGTGATTGAAATTATAATTCTAACGTATTGTATGTGAGAGAGTATTATACACAGATATGACAGCATATAGAGGGTAAATATATTGCATTTAGTTAAACATAAGTTATCTCCCACGACTATTATATTTCGAGATTCCAGTTGCAATCTCGAAGATCTCTGTATCGTTCTCTATAGTGACAAGCAGGTCTGTTTTCGTCTCACTTCTCAGAGAGCCAAACAGTGATTCATTGGGAATGTCGCCACAGACACACAGTTCTTAAAACTGTGAATGCAAGGGCTCTCAGTGGGCCATTGGCTCAATAACCATTGTGTTACCTCCATCGGCGATAGATAGTAACTTAACAGAAATGGATTTAGGTTAAAGTCTTTGAGATTTTTACTTTAAAGTGAGGCTTTATCTGACTTTTTTCCCCCATGAAAGCTGTATACGTACCCTTTTGTCATCTTTGAAAGGTATTCATGCTTGTGTGGTGTAATTTCAAAAACCTTGGCAGGTTGACTGTTTGAAAAAGAATATTTCGTAGTTTAATAATAAGATGTTGAATCGCTTCTGTTTAATATCTCAGAACGCAACTGCCAAACACAACCTTAGAACTGAAAGATCATGATATGTTAACTCCATATTCAGAGCATTAATGTAGAAGCAAGCCACTATTTGCTTTGTAAAGATAATGTGGAGTAATAGAATGTAATGTCTATGTAGAGAATGAAGTCTCACTCCCTCTGTCTGTTTAAATCGCAGCTAGTTGTGCTTTGTCTATGTAGCCCGCCTGGCCGCGCGTGCATGTGAGTCCCATTGTGCGTGCGCACCCCCCTCCAACTGGCTAGCTAATACGGCTGTTACCACTGATAACAGCGAAGCGAAGAATATTGCCAACGTCACTTCTTTTTAATACATTAGTATTAAACAATACTAATGCCACCTTTCACCCCCACAAGTGACAGGATTGGGTGGTCACCAATCAAACTTCCAACCTGCCAGTGTTAGTCCATCGCTCTGCCCATTGAGTTGAAGGGATTTCTGTCCACTTCCACCAGTCCATCTATCCATCTGCTGGTTGTTTTTTTGCAGAGCTGGTGTCATATCTTTGGCAGTGCTGGGACATTGGTAGTTGGCAATCAAACATACACACACACTTTTCCTGCAGTGTTTTTCCACTTGTAGTGAAGGTCGCAAGTGTGTGTTTGTTCATGTGGGTTAAGCCATGTTTATCCGTACTTGTAGTTTTAAATTTATTTGGGAGTAAATTAAATCAATGCAGTGTCCGAGCAAGAATAGCAAAACTGTGCGAGAGAGTGCCTCCAGGTTTGTTGGCCAGCTGGCCTTTCAAATGTTTAAAATGTAAATTGGAGACAAACACACAGCAATCCAAGCTAATGAAAAAACACTTTTTTTTTTTCAGTCAGATAAAAGTGTGTGCGTGCGTACGTGCGCCTAGAAGAGCAATCACAAGAAGTGAACAGCGAACAAGGACAACATTGGGACGTTCGGAAGTGACTGCATTATATTAAATAAATAAGTGTGTGTTTGTGTGTCTGAATTTGTCCGAAGACCTATCTGCTTGTAAATCAGTGCAGGTTTCAATATCAGTAGAGCAGTTTAAGTGCTATTGATCTTTAGTAATAGCTGCACCATGAATTATATGCGGTATAATAAAGGCAGTCTGATTGAATTTGACCCTCTAGATCTGAGGCTCTCAACTTATTACTGGATCAGGCAATGGAAAGCCAGGAGTAGTTTGATTTTCGTAGTGCTAGATCCAAGGTATAATTTAACCCTGATGTAACCAGGCAGAAGAAATCCATACTTAACGGCATCATCTTGTCATAGCGGGACACCAAATATTGTGCTGATTAACTGGTCATTCTGACGGTCATCTCGCAACCTATTAAAGCCCTTTCATTCTATTTTTCTCCATCCTAAAATGAAAGACCTAGAATTAGAGTGAGACCTCTAAATTATGGTTGATGATAATGTGGCTGCCAGTCTAGAGATATTTATCACCTACTTTCACTTATTCACAAGCCAACTAGATTTTCAGAATAGTGCTGAACCTCCAGTTGCTGGTTAGTTACCTTCCAAAGTGGCTGGCAAAGTAAACCAATTTATAGTACAAGCCTCAGCCAGAATGAACCAGCATTTGCATGGTGGCTGCTTTCCCACCCTGTTTCCACTCTTTCACATAACCCCATTTGGTAACCACCCAGTGCAGCCACAGTTTTGCATTTTTGGCCACTGAGCAGCTCAATTGGAGCAATTGGGGGTTCAGTGCCTCTTCCAAGGGCACTTCAGTAGTAGCTGCTGAGGGATGGGAGAACATTACTCATTCATTTAAGCCAGCCAGCCCCAAGCCTGGCTCTCTAACCTTCAGGCAAGCACAATTCCTCATCTGCGTATTAGCAGGCACTAGTTCAGCTGAAGCATCTAACAAGCACAAACATAAACCACGCACGAGCTCAAGACTTAACGTGCTGCTGCAGTGTGAAATACATATTTTTGGTGACAGTTATGTTTGTAGAAGCTTCCAGTGTGGCAGCTGCACAAATTGAAAAGTGTGCGAGCCAAACAGATTCCATTGCTGGAGCCTTCCCAAACATCTGCATGTGAGAAGCCATAGCAGATAGGCCATGAGGTACTTAACATCAATAACAAAGCCCCCAGGGTGCCAAATGATTTGACAGCAGTGTATTGATAGGCAGTATGTGTGAATTTATCTACACGGACATTTCTCAACCTTTGGGCTGGGACCACTTATGGGATCGCATATGCAAATCGACTGTAGAGAACTTTTAAGACTGATATATTGATATACATCTTTGTTAGTTATTGTTTAAAAAGGGAATACACTGAAAGGGTTAGAAACTACCAATGTATTTATGAATCATTGGGAGTGTCCCTCAGCATGTACGTATGCCATGTGCAAACTCATGGCAACTTTAAAACTAAATATGCATTGCAGTGGTGATGAAAATATCGGGACTTCATTGACTTGTGCTCATGTGACATCTTTCCAGAACAATCTGATGATCAGTGTTATAAAGGCCACTGGCCAGTATTTAAGTCACAGCGAGGTTTTCATTTCAGATGACAACATTATTGCAATTGTGGCAGTAGAGCAGCTGTTAGTAGCCAGCGAGAGCTGGTAGCTAATGGTTATTGGTAATGGTAAGTTAAGTTTATTATAACTGTAACAACTGCATTCCCTTCATCACCCACGTATCCTCAATGACACAAACATCTCATTAAC